TTCTGTGGACTCTGGGTCAATATGATTACGTAAAACACCCGTTCACCCATGTTTATACTGAGGAATGTGGGGTAATTTCCACTAGTGATAAATAACCCAGACTGCTGTGTGCTTTTAGGGTTTTAAAATTCCCTTTCTTTCATCTTTTCCTGTGTCTTAAGAGATTCCTCTTTCTCTAAACTGATTGGTAAATTAGATAATTGAGCTTGAATCTAGGCTAAGAAGAAATAAATGTGCTCTATGTGAATGCCTTTTAACTAGTTGTGGTTCCTGACACGCTTGGTATTTCCTTTTATGGACTTCAGCTGTTCTCCAGGTATTTGCATATAGCCGTGTTTCTCTATCGCCTTGATTATTTTCACTTGAGCATAAAATAATAGGATGCTTTTTTTTTTTTTTTTTAATAACCGGTTTTGTCTCTGTGAGAATCAAAGCTCCTTTTGCTTTTTGCCCGGCTTCTGGTTTCTCCTGATCAGAATGCTAGCTTTCCAGATGGACATGCCAGCAGGGACTTCGAGGATGTACGGTAGCCACATGGCGACAGAGTGTCAGATTCTGTTGGATGCAGCGTTCTCTGCTTGCTTCGGTTTGACTGCAAACTTCGTGAAATGGAAGGTTATGAGGGTACCCAAGAAAATTCTGGAGGTCTGTTCCTTCTGGGGCAGAAGCTCACGGTTCACGAGGTGGCTTCTGGTAGACAGGTTGTGGGTTGGCGGTGGCTTTGTGAACGCAGGCTAAACGACAGCAGGGCCATACCCAGGGGGAGATGGGTTGTTTGCCACGAGTGGCACCGGCCAGTGGAGAGAGTTGGTGCAAGGCGAGGACGTAAACTTAAGGACATCACCATCTTGCCTCTTTGAGGATGCTTTCTTTATCTTTGGGTCCAGACCAGTGGGTCAGTCATCTGACCAGAACCACAGTCCCCTCTTAGTGTCAGGGAGATCTGCGTTTCTCCCTGTGCCCCAGAACGTAGGGCGGATCGGCTCGTTCCACACCTGACTGTGGAGCCGCCTCCCTCCGGACTTGGTGGCGTTCCGAGTTTCCGTCTGAGAGTGTCCCTCAGAGATGGCCCATCCCGGTTCTTCACATCTTACACGTCCCTGTGTTAGCCTCTGACTCTCTTCTAGAATATCTAGGAGGTTACGGCAGTGGGTTTGTTTGCTGAGAAGCTGTTAGAACAGATGCATGCAAAAGATTGGTTGTTTGCTGCTTTTGTGGAAGCTGTTACCCTGTGTGCTTTTCTTCTGGGAGTATTGACGGAACTTGGATGCTTTTTAGCCATTCTCTCCACTTTAGTTCTTTGGAAAATAATGTTCACCCCATTCTCTCAAAATCACGAGTATAAGGAATGGAATAGTGGATTCATGATGCTTATCCAAGGCAGGAGCTTTTAAAAATCCATACCAGAGGGCCGCCTGGGTGCCTTAGTCAGTTTAGTGTCTGAGTCTTGATTTCAGCTCAGGTCATGATCTCACGGTTCATGAGTTGGAGCCCTGAGTCGGACTCTGCACTGACATTGTGGAGCCTGCTTGGGATTCTCCTCCCCTCCCCTCCCCTCCCCTCCCCTCCCCTCAATAAACTAATAATAAAACACACCCAAAATAAATAAACTCAACAGAATCTGTAGAGGATTTTTTAAAGTGGAAGTTAATTCCTTTTCATATGTTGCACCTGGATTTCAGCTGATTCTATTTGAAATATAGACCATTTTTCTCAGTCTTAATCCCTCCTTTTTTTTGTTTTTGTTTTTAAAGATGACCTCCCATTAGCCTTGGTTGCAGAGTTCACTGCCTTTCCTGCTGAGAGGAGACTGGGGAAGGCTGGAGGGGCACCTGCCACCCTCTGCCCCCAGCACATCCCTTCCCCTGCTGCCCCCCTGGCTGGCCGCTGCGTCCTCGGGTTGCCGTGTGCTCTCCGCACACGCTCTCCGCACACGTTTTTCTCTGTGCTGGTCCGCGTGTCCCAAGATGGAGCCCAGGGAGGCTCTTCGTTAGAAGAAATCAGACCTGGGTCTTTTAATCTGGAAGGAATTTGAAGAGGTGATCCACCCATATGTCACATATGTGCCAGGATGAGTTAGAGCCCATGGGAAAATACATCCATCTCTGTCTCATGAGTGCTGAAATACAGTTAGTCCAGCGTTTTTTAAAGTACCTAAGCAGTTAGACTTGGGAACAAGGATCCACCAGCACTGGTTGTTTGACTGTACCTCGCCCACCCTGTGCACAGCCTGACTGCAGACCTCCCGAGTGGGAAACAGGAGAGTGCTGTCCCCTTTTCCTAGTCAGTCTCCTACTGATTATAAAACCACTTTAGAACAAGTATAGATATATATTGTTCCAGGGGAAGTATGGCCAGATAGTTTTTCCTTTTCTTTTCCTTACTTTACTTTTCTGTTTATAAGAACCTTCCTTCTATCAAAAACCTGCTTCTAATTGGAGATGATCAAAAGGGAGGGGGGGGAAAAACAGGTTAATCGCTTTTGTTAGCCTGTAGCCAAGTCTCTTCTGCCAGGTGCATCCCTGTGGAGTTTCATTTCTACCTAGTGCTGTGACCCACATAATTTTGGGGTTTTTAACATGCACAAAAGGTCATGACTGCGGCAGACGGAAGGTGGCTTGGAGAGCTGTGTGCTCTTTGCATTTCTGCAGGGCGGGTATTGGGGTGTCGACCTCTGTTCCCTGATGCTGCTCACTCACTTCTGTGTCCTTGTTGGATCGTGTGGCCCAGAAGCCGGACAGGGATGGTTTTAGAGACCTCCACTGGGAAGGAGAGCAGATCGGTTACCTGTGTCTTTGTTGCTATCCCGGAGCATTAGCTCATTCACAGGAAAGTGGGCAAGAGAAGAAATAAATTTCACACTTAATAGGTCTTCGGCTGCTTGGTAGTAACTCTTTCCTAAAATACTTCATGGTTAAGAAGATTAAAATTGTTGGGCACCGGGGTGGCTTAGCTGGTTAAGCTTCTGACTTCTGCTCAGGTCATGGTCTTGTGGTTTGTGAGTTCGAGCCCCCATCGGGCTCTGTGCTGTTGATGCAGTTTTGGGGTGACGGTGGGATGGTCTGGAGCTGACCTCCAGGAGAGAATTCTTGAAGATGTCTTTGGTACAAAAAGGTGACTTTATTAAAGCACAGGGACAGGACCCGTGGGCAGGAAGAGCCGCATGGGGTCGTGACAGGTAACTCATCATATACCCTCAGGCTGGGAGGGGGTCAGGGATAGAGTAAGTCTCCAAGGAATTTTGGAAGCAAGGTTTCCAGGACCTTGAGGGGCTAGCTGTTACTAGGGAAACACCATTTATTACCGTTTAATAAAATCTCAGTCACGAGACCCTTCCGATGCCTATTGGGGGAGGAGGGGGGCATAAGCTTGGGGTATAATCGCCAGCATATATCTTAAGGCAGTTGTGATAAAGGAAGTAGACTTACAGGATCCTTGAGGTTGGGATAATGTTAAGCTAAGGTTCTCTTTTGCCCCCAGCAAAGTGTCCTCATCGAGGCAGCTGAGCTCCTAGAGGGAGGTCACTCTGCCGGTTTCAAGGACTTGTCAGTGGGCCATAGGCAGCAAGGGATAATTTTCCATTTGTCTTACTTCCCTGCATACCATGGCAAGCCCTGAGACCCCTTTCCTTTGTTCTCGGGTAGCTGGGGGTGTCTGAGGAATATTACACATATTCCACTGGTGGGGGGGGGTGGATGTGGGTACCAGCCTGTATTTTGCCCCCTCAGCTTGCCCCACGCCCCCTCATCAGTCAGCACGAAGTCTGCTTCAGATCCTCTGTCCCCCTCTCTCTCTGTCCCTCCCCTGCTCATGGTTCTCGTTCTCTCTCTCTCTCTGAAAAATAAATACTAAAGATTATAGTTGTTGCTAGAAATAATTTGGGAGAATTTCTTTGGATTTTTAAGTAGCCTCTGGTCCTAAACAATGTACCGGTGAGTTGTGTCATCTTTAAATGGTCATTGTTTGATAAAGAACCATATCGTGCTGTTTCATATTAGCAACCTTCTTTTCTGGTGTTCCTGCTTGATCTTAAATGCAGAAATGGGGGCGCCTGGGTGGCTCAGTCGGTTAAGTGGCCGACTTCAACTCAGGTCATGATCTCGCGGTCCGTGAGTTCGAGCCCCGCGTCAGGCTCTGTGCTGACAGCTCAGAGCCTGGAGCCTGGTTCAGATTCTGTGTCTCCCTCTCTCTCTGCCCCTCCCCTGTTCATGCTCTGTCTCTCCCTGTCTCAAAAATAAATAAAATGTTAAAAAAAATAAATAAATAAATGCAGAAATGAAAACATCTGGGGGCATGAGGAGGTTAAGGTGTGAAAGGAGTGTGAGGGATGTGGGGTTTTCTCTTAGGTTTTTGTTTTGTTTTTTTAATCCAGCACTTTTAGTCAGTCTTGTGCAGGAATTTATTTTAATAATTTCACATGCTATTCACCTGATCGTAATATCAAAGTAGCTTCCAAATATATTGCGATTTTTGGGGGTTCCATGTCTGTGACTCACCTCATGTGAATTCAAGACCATTACTGTATGTAGGAAATGTCGTATTCTCTGTTACTGCCGCTTGGTTTGTCTTTCACTTTGAAATTCATTTGTTTAAAGTCACATTAAGTTGAGTAAGTTAAGTGCATAACCCAGAATAGCCTTTGTCTCTTCCTTGACATCGTGAATAGGTGTTTTTAATTTTACTTCCCCCACCCCCACCCCCTCACAACTATTCATATGAGCTAGAAATTCTTTTGATTTGTTGTGTTGGGTGAATGGCATCCTCTCCCTACTGGGGCGATTTTGCTTGAAATCCTTTGAAAGGGCACAGATGGAGTTTTATTTCCTGGGGGATGTTTGAAAAACAAAAGTGGCGGTGGAGACGAACAGCTTTGTGTTCTCTGCTCAGGCCTGAGGATTTAGGTTCGTGCCTTAATAAATGTCTCCATGTGTAGTGCCCCTTCTGGAAGGGGCGAGGACCCGGGCCTGTGTTCATGAGCCCTCTTCCCTTAAACCCACCAGGCTCTCCTGCGCTGCCCAACAGCATGGTTTATTTCGGAAGCTCTCAGGACGAGGAGGACGTCGAGGAGGAAGACGATGAGACGGAAGACGTCAAAACAGCCACCAACAATGCTTCATCTTCATGCCAGTCAACCCCCAGGAAAGGAAAAACCCACAAGCACGTTCACAATGGACATGGTAGGTGGGCTCTTGGTTCCGGGGGTAGCAACAAGGTAAAAGCCACAGCTCCGACTTCGAGAGCTGGGACGGGTCGTCTGTGGACGTGAAAGACCCGGGTGAAGGTTGCGTAGCGGCTTGGTGATCAGGCTAGTCCTGGACGCTTCTCTGGGTGCCAAGCTCTTGCAGAGAGAGGAGTACGTGACCGTACGTCTTGTGAACAGAATAAGATGTGGCGATGGGTGTTTCTCGCAGTGTAGAGGCGACGTTAAATCTCGTAAGAGCTGCAGGTGATA